ACAGACAGACACACACACACACACACACACACACACACACACACACACACACACACACACACACACGTCAAAAGAAGGTATCTGAGCCCTAGAACTGGACATACAAATGGCTGTGAGCCACTACGAGAACACTGGGAACTGAACTGGGTCCTCTGCACTCTTAACCACTGAGCTGTCTCTCTAACCTTGACCATGTAATTTTGTTTTGGTTTGATTTGGTTTTTCAAGACAGAGTTTCTCTGTGCAGTCCTGGTTGTCCTGGAACTTGCTCTGTAGACCTTGAGCTCACAGAGATGCAACTGCCTCTGCCTCCCGAGCACTGGGATTAAAAGTGTGCACCACCACTGCCCGGGACAATGTAATTTTTTAAGAAAGGAAGAAAGAAGGAAGATAGACAATAAAAAGATCTTAAGTTAGAGACTGTCTGCACAGCCTTTGCTGTTGTTAAAGGTTGTCTGATTGTTTTGTTTTATGAAATGTCTCAAGGCTGATCTGGAGTTTATAAGCTTCCTACCTCAGCTTTCTGAATTCTGAGATTATGAGCATGTACCACCACCTCTAACTTGTTTTTGGACATTTTTATCTTGCTCTTCAATTATAAAAAAAAGTATATAGGAAAGCCAGGTGGTGGTGGCACACTCCTTTAATCCCAGCACTCAGGAGGCAGAGGCAGGCAGATCTCTGTGAGTTCGAGGCCAGCCTGGTCTACAGAGTGAGTTTCAGAAAGGTGAAAAGCTACACAGAGAAACCCTGTCTCGGAAAAAACAAAACAAAACCCAACAAACAAACCAAACAAACAAACAAACAAACAAACAAACAAACAAACAAAAAACAGTATATAGGAGATGGTTCAACAATTAAGAAGACCTGGGTTCAATTCCCAGCACCCACATGGCAGCTCATAACTGTCTGTAATTCCAGTTCCAAGGGACCCAACACCCAGGACAAAACAACAATGCATATAACATTTTTTTTTTAAAAAAAGTTTATGTTTAGCATCAAAGAAATCTGGACACAATCCGTGTATGTAAAACTAACAAGCTAAGACAGAAAGGTGGGTGGGCTAACAAGGGCAGCACAACTGTATGCTGTAGCGGTGTCCCCGACGGCCAGGGTGCCCTCTGTGGCTGAACAGCCTTGGAGCTGCAGTTGGGCTCTTCCCACTGTATCAGAAACTGTGGTGCTAGTGGACTTTCCCAGCTTACACACTTGTGCACTACTGACAGGTCTGCATCCGCAAGTAGCTTAGCTTCATTATAAAATATTTGAATTGTTACTACGGGCCCCTCTTTTCAGCTTTTAAAGAGGATCATGGGAAGAATTACCTTACTAGAAAATCCAGCCCCCCGTGACTTGGGAGGGGAAAAAAAGTCATCGTATGCCCAACCTTATAAATAGCTAAAACAATACCTTAAAAGTCCACAAAGCAGAACTTAATAGGCTGCCACTGGTCCCCTTTACCTTTTGCTATAAATAAACTTTAAACCAAGGAGAAACCCAGTAACATCAACCATTTACAGCCAAGTGTGCCAGAATACAGGTAAGTTCTTGGGACTCAAGATCTTTCTTCCTTAAAAAAACAGCTTTCTGCATGCTGGGCAAGCACCCTGCCACAAAGCTACACATCAAAACAACCCAACAGATGGGAAAACCAAAAGTCTGTCATTTGTCTAAAGCCAAACAGATACTGAATGCACGGCTTTCTGACTCCAAGCCCAGTCCCTTACCACTGCTCTATACTGCCATTGGGAGAAAATGACTTAGACTTCTATCATTCAAAAGGAATGACTGGCTGGGCAGTGGTGGCGCACACCTTTAATCCCTGTACTCCAGAGGCAGAGGCAGGCAGAGCTCTGAGTTCAAAGCCAGCCTGGTCTACAGAATGAGTTCCAGAACAGCCAGGGCTATATGGAGAAACCCTATTTCAAAAACCCAAACCCACCCCTCGCACACACAGAACCCCCTCCCCACACAAGAACCCCCACACACCCCAAAGCAAAACAAAAAAGGAATGATTGTTAACAAGCCAGGGGTGTTGTGCTCACCCATAATTCCAACATTTGGAAGTTAGGGGCAGGAGGATCAGGGCTCAAGGTCACCTTTGCCTACATAGTAAGTTCAAGGCCAGATTGGGCTATGTTTTGCCTCAAAAAACAAACAAATAAATAAAAAAAGTGTATTTATTTGCTTCTCTTGAGTACAGGGGTGTATCAGGATACTATTAAGTACACTGCTTTACACTCCTTTTCCTAGAAAGAAGTTAAGATATTTTCATGCCAATATACAATTTCAACTTTCCCTTTACTTCATTTTCTATTACTGTCAACTTTCCACATGACTAGAAATTATGAACAATTTGAGACTGCAGAGCTGGCTCAGCAGTTAAGAGTGAAGGGAGGAGGCAAAAGCACCTTGTCCTAAGTACTGCCATTTTGACTCTAGATTCAATTTTACCTGCAGAGTGAAAGTTCAGGTTCCTAACACCACGGGGAGCTGGGAATCTTCCAGCAGTTGACCCATCTCCTCCTTAGACAACAGAAATAGTCTGTTATGCCCCTTAGTTCTCTAAAGCATTATGGCCGTTCCACACAGAAAGAACAGTGAATCGGACTGGCTGAACTGGAAAGCTTACATTCTGTGTCGGCTGACAAGGATGGACACACAGGGAGGCCCAGGTCTCTGAACCCCGATTAGTGGGAGACTGCGGCTGTGACCTGACAACAGCCGTTTGTGGTGCTGTGCTTATAAAGCCTGCTGCTGCCCTGCCCGGGCTGCCAGGAGCAGCCAGGCTCCCGAGTCCTGTCCTGCAGCCCTGATGGACCAGGGGCTCCACTTATGTGGTGATTTATTAAAGACCGTAAGTGTTGTCTCTCCTCCCGCGAGGTGCACAGCAGACAAGGTGTAACAAGAGCACTGCTGAACTTCTGGAGGGCCGTCTGCTTCCCAGCTCCCACATGCCAGCACACAACTGTCTGAAATTCCAGAGTCAGGAAACCTAACGCCCTCTTCTGGCCTCCACAGGTACCAGGCATGCACGTGGTGCACAGACTTAGGTATAGGCAAACACTCACACACATAAAATTACTAACATCTTATTGCTCTACCACATAGTTGTGATGAGTGTTTTCTTTTCTTTTTGTAGTGCTAGAACTGAGCCCAGGGCCTTGGAGATACAGATGATTGTTCTATTTTTGAGGTGCATCCATGATCTAATAATTAAAAAGAAATAGCCCTGCCAGGCGGTGGTGGCGCACGCCTTTAATCCCAGCACTCGGGAGGCAGAGCCAGGCGGATCTCTGTGAGTTCGAGGCCAGCCTGGGGTACCAAGTGAGTTCCAGGAAAGGCGCAAAGCTACACAAGAGAAACCCTGTCTCGAAGAAAAAAAAAAAAAAAAAGAAATAGCCAACCAATTTCTACAGCATCTGAAGAAAATTATTTCTGTTAAGTGTCATTTTTCTTGTTACCCAGTCCCAAATGATCTCCAATACAATTCCAGACCATGGTCAAGACTGAGGGTGGAGGCTTCTGTCCCTCAAGGGCACCTGGAGGTTCAGACATCTTAACCTGAGAACTGAGAACTCATAGGAGGTAGGTGAAGCACCCAAGTTCTCCTTGGCCACACAAGTTAAAGGCCATCCTCATCTACCTAGCAAGTTCAAGGCTGTGCTCTCAACAGGGTCATGCAACGGGCTGTGGCCAGGGTGCACTGGTTTGCTCCCGTTGGCAGGGGCAGGAGCGGAGTTACTCAGTGCAAGAGCAAGCTTTTCACTGGCCACCACTGATGCTTCTTATTTACGTATACTTAGGCAGTAGGTACCAGGATGTGATTTCACAGATGACAGGGCAGATGCAGAGAGATTACATGGCCTGCCTGAGGCTGGAGTGAGAAGTTTTACTAAATCCTGGGGCTTGTACTCCAAAATACACAGTCCCCTGTGTGTGAGTAGAAAACTGTGGCCATCATTCAATGGAAAGTGTTCCTAGGAAATAAATCCTCTTCAGAAGAAAACAACTTCAAACCAGGCCTTGAAAATACCCAAGAGACCAGTGTAGTGGTACACACTTTAATCCCAGCACTTGGGAAGAAGAGGCAGATCATCTCTGAGTTCAAGGCCAGCCTGGTCTACAGAGTGAGTTCCAGGACAGTTGGAGCTACACAGCAAGACCCTGGGAGTGGGGGTGGGGCAACAGAGCCAGAGTGGTGGCCCATGCCCCCAGTACTCAAAAGATAGAGGTTGGAGGATCACAAGTTTGAAGTCAGCAAGTATTACACAGTGAGTTTCATGCCAACCTACGTTACCCAGTGAAACCTTTTCAAAAAACAAAACAAAACAAACAAACAAACAAACAAACAAACAAAAAAACCCAACAAAAATAAAGGTCACAAGATGCAATAAATAAAGCAGTATGAGTCAGAGCCAGTGGGTGGCAGAAGAATCAGGCTTACCAGTACTTGAGACTGGGATTTACAGCAGGTTATCAAATAGCAAAGTTAAGAAATAAGAGTCAGCTGAGCAGTGGTGGCACATGCCCTTAATCCCAGCACTCGGGAGGCAGAGCCAGGTGAATCTCTGTGAGTTCGAGGTCAGCCTGGTCTACAGAGCAAGATCCAGGACAGGCACCAAAACTACACAGAGAAACCCTGCCTTGAAACCACCCCCCAAACCCCCCCCCCAAAAAAAAAAAAGAAGGAAGGAAGAAAAGAGTCTTTAAAACACGAGCCAAGGAAAGGGGATTTTAAAGACCTCACAGAATTTAAAAGAGCCTTCTAGGACTGCTAGCGGTAAAAAAAAAAAAAAAAAAAAAAAAAAAAAACAGTCACAGGGTAACAACGGGAAGGAGGCAAACCTCATGGAAATTATCCAGGAGTTGGGGAACGGCTCAGTGGGTCAAGGTCTTCCCATGCAAGCATGAGGAACTGAGTTTAGATCCCAGCACCCGTGGAAACCTAGAAGCCAGCCAGTTCACCCCGTGAGCTCTGTGTCACTGAGACCCTGTTTTAAAGCAAGGTGGAGGGTGTTGGATGACGTCTAGCACTGGCCTCTGCACTTACGTGCACTGCACAGGCACATGTCATCTAGACGTCTACTCCCTAACCTGACCTATCCATCTAGTTCAGTTCTGGCCAAGTTACTTTTTTATGCTTGAGGACAGTTTTATTAGTGACGAAAAGGGAATTACCCTAGATCAGGCAAGCTAGAAATCCCAGGAGCTGCCTGGAGGAGGAGGAGCAAAGGGAAAAGGCCATGCTGTCTGAGTTAGCAGCATGGAGGCCCCCATGGCAGCAGGCGGCAACACAGCAGGGGTGGAGGCTTCAGAGACAACGTCAGGCAGCCCAAGCTGCATGGAAAAAGCGTACTTAAGCTCTTGCCAGTCCGAAAGAAAATAAAGTGTTACTTTTCGGAGAACTTCATGGCAGCTCGGCTTATAAGGACTGCCATGAAGCTGCTTTTTAAAATGATTTATATTTAATTATGTGTCTATGTGTGTGTGTGTGTGTATGTGAGTGTAGGTGCTGACAAAGAGTCCAGAAGAGGGTGTTGGACCCCCTGAAGCTGAAGTTTCAGCCAGCTGTGAGCTACCAGATGTGGGTGCTGGGAACCCAACTCAGATCCTCTGAAAAAGCAGAATGTGCTTTTAGCCACATGGCTATTTCTCTAGACTGCCAATAAAGTTTTGTTATTGTTGTTTTGCTTTGTTTTTCAAGACAGGGTTCCTTTGTGTAAACCCCGCTGTCCTGGAATTCACTTTGTAGACCAGGCTGGCCTTGAATTCAGAGATCCACCTGCCTCTGCCTCAGAGTGCTGTGATTAAAGGTATTTGCCACCACCCCTGGCTCTCAATAAAGGTTTGTTGTTGTTTTTTTTTTTTTTTTTTTTGGTTTTTTGAGACAGGGTTTCTCTTGTGTAGCTTTGCGCTTTTCCTGGAACTCACTTGGTAGCCCAGACTGGCCTCGAACTCACAGAGATCCGCCTGCCTCTGCCTCCCGAGTGCTGGGATTAAAGGCATGCGCCACCACTGCCCGGCTTCTTTAGCTTCTT